TGTGGTGAAGATGTGTTACGGAGCTCTACAGGTGTAGTGAAGATGTGTTACGGGGGGCTCTACAGGTGTGGTGAAGATGTGTTACGGAGCTCTACAGGTGTAGTGAAGATGCCTAACGAGGCTCCACACGTGTCTCGGGATCAGGTGTGGTCTGTGTCACCTCCGGAAGTGAGTGTGACAGGTGTGTGTGTGACAGATGTGTGTGTGGCAGGTGTGTGTGTGGCAGCCGCAACATTTGAAAACCCATTTATCTATACCAGTAAGAGTGACCTCACCTAACTTTGCAGGGGGAATGGTGTGGGGGGCGGGATAGGCATAGGCCGGCTGGGGGGGGGGGGTGTGGGGGGCCGGTCCTATTGATCCCATTAAGAGAAGGGGTATCGTTAAATAGTGATTTGACGTAATTGGGATTGTTGCACCTTATAGAACAAGCTGGTGTTGCTATAGAGGAGAGTGTCGGTGTACTGTCTGTGATGCTGGGGGTGGGGGGGGGGGTGCTGGTGCCAGGATGAATATAACCAAGTCGTATCGACCTTTAGATACGTGTCCCCCCCCCCCCCTCAGCCCCACCCCCCTCTACGCCATATATGTTATTCATTCGGTGTTTCATTCTCACACACACGGGAGACATGATCACTACCTATAAAATTCTTAGTGGAATTGGCAAGGTAGATAAAGATAGGCTGTTTAACACTGGTGGTACGCGAACAAGGGGACACAGGGTGGAAATTGAGTACCCAAATAAGCCACAGGGACGTTAAAAAGAACTTTTTCAGTGTCAGAGTAGTTAACCGTGTTCGCGTACCACCTGTGTTAAATAGTTTATCTTTACCATGTCAATTCCTCTGATAATTTTGTAGGTAGTGATCATGTCTCCCCTTCCTCTTCAGTCTTCCAACGTCGTGAGGTGCATTTCACGCAGCCTTTCCTCGTAACTCATGCCTCTTAGTTCTGGGACTAGCCTAATGGCATACCTCTGAACTTTTCCAGCTTCGTCTTGTGCTTGACAAGGTACGGGGTCCATGCTTGGGCCGCATACTCCAGGATTGGTCTTACATATGTGGTATACAAGGTTCTGAATGACTCCTTACAGGAGTAACTCCTTCAGGTTCCTGAAGGCAGTTCTGATGTTAGCCAGCCTCGCATACGCCGCAGATGTTATTCTCTTGATGTGGGCTTCAGGAGATAGGTTTGGCGTGGTATCAACTCCTAGATCTTTCTCTCTGTCCGTTTCATGAAGGACTTCATCTCCCATTCTGTATCCTATGTCTGGCCTCCTGTTTCCACTGCCTAGTTTCATTACCTTACATTTACTCGGGTTGAACTTTAGTAGCCATTTGTCGTACCATTCGTTCAGGCTATCTAGTTCAGCTTATACCCCATACTATCTTCCTCCGTCATAATCCTCCTCATAATTTTTGCATCATCAGAAAACAATGAGAGGAATGATTTTATACCCTCCGATAGATCATTTACATATATCAGAAACAGTATGGGTCCAAGGACTGAACCCTGCGGGACTCCACTGGTGACGCCACGCCAATCTGAGACCTCACCCCTCACATTGACTCGCTGTCTTCTGTTGCTTAGGTACTCCCTAATCCATTGGAGTACCTTCCCTTTCACTCCTGCCTGCATCTCCAGCTTTTGCACTAGTCTCTGATGTGGTACTGTGTCAAAGGTTTTCAGGCAATCCAAAAATATGTAGTCCGCCCACCCCTCTCTTTCCTGCCTGATTTTTGTTGCCTGATCGTAGAATTCAGTTAATCCTGTTAGGCAGGACTTGCCATCCCTGAAACCATGTTGGTATTGTGTCACAAAGTTCCTTCGCTCCAGATGTGCCACTAGTTTTTTCACACATTTTTCTCCAATAACTTGCATGGTATACAGGTTAGGGACACTGGCCTGCAGTTCAGTGCCTCCTGTCTATCCCTTTCTTGTATATTGGGACTATGTTTGCCGTCTTCCAAATTTCTGGCAGTTCACCTATTACCAGTGATTTGTTATACACCATGGAGAGTGGCAGGCACAGTGCTTCTGCTCCTTCATTTAGTATCCATGATGATATTCCATCTGGGCCTATAGCCTTTGTCACATCCAACTCTAGCAAAAGCTTCCTTACATCCCCACTGGTAATCTCAAATTCCTCTAGTGGTGCTTGGTTAATTATTTCTTTTCTTATCTCTGGAACTTCTCCTTGCTCTAATGTGAAGACTTCCTGGAATTTCATATTGAGTTCCTTGCACACTTCTTTGTCGTTTGTAGGGAATCTGTCTGCCCCTATCCTCAGTTTCATTACCTGTTCCTTCACTATTATCTTTCTCCTGGTGTGGCTGTGCAGCAGTTTAGGTTGAGTCTTAGCCTTGCTTGCTATGTCGTTTTCATATTGCCCTTCTGCCTATCTTCTCATCCTGACGTATTCATTCCTGGCTCTCTGGTAACCTCCTCTGCTCTCAAGTGTCCTGTTATTTCTATAACAGGACACTTGAGAGCATGCTAATTTCTCCATGCTCTTTTACTTAGTTGTTTAGCTAGCTTACATCTCTGATTTAACCATGGGTTTCTCATCTGCATTTAATTTTTTTCCTTTTGGGCTGAAATAAGCTTTTCTGCTGCCTCCTTACACTTCTGCGTGATGTATTCCATAATGTCTTGGGCCGTCTTTCCCCTGAGCTCTGTTTCCCAAGCTATATCCGTTAGGAATTTTCTTATCTCCTCATAGTTTCCCTTACGGAATGCTAGCCTTTTGCTTTCAACTCCCTTTCACGAGTACTTTAACCCTTCCTCGACCAGATACTCAAACGTCAGTACACTGTGATCACTCATTCCTACTGGGGCCTTGAAGTCAATTTCCCTTATGTCGGAGTCATTCAGAGTGAAGACTAGGTCGAATCTCGCTGGTTCATCGTTTCCCCTCATTTTTGTGGGTTCCCTGACATGCTGGCATAAAAAAAAATTTGTTGCCACCTCCAGTAGTTTAGCTCGCCATGTTTCCTCTCCGTGCGGTTCCTTGTTCTCCCAGTCTACCCTTACGTGATTGAAGTCCCCCATGATGAGCAGATGGGATCGAATTCTCCAGGCAGCAGAGGCTGCCCTCTCAATTATATTGTTAATTGTCATTTTGTTTCTGTCATACTCTTGCCTGGGTCTTCTGTCGTTTGGTGGAGGGTTATATATCACTGCTACTACTACTCTTGGTCCTCCCATCGTCATGGTGCCTGCTATGTAGTCTCCAAACCCCTCGCAGCCTGGGATAGCCATCTCCTTGAAACTCTATTCCTTTCTCATGAGTAGGGCCACTCCGCCTCCTCCCCCTACCCTCCCTCTCTTTCCTTATTGCAGTGTAGGCCTGGGGGAACACCGCATTTGTTATGATTGCTGAGAGTTTTGTTTCGGTAAGTCCAATTACATTTGGGTTTACTTCTTATGTTCTTTCCCTAAGTTCACTTGCCTTGCTTGAAATCTCATCTATGTTTGAGTACATCACCTTGAAGCTCACTCTTTTTTGTCCATCCTCAGTTCCTGTTGATTCCACTGGAGTAGGTAAACCTGGAGGGTCCTGGCTGGGGAGGGGGTAGGGGGGGGGGACCTGGGTTGCGTGGGGGCTGGGAGGTTCTGGTTTGGCGAGGGGGGGCAAAGGGAGGGCTTGGAGGGGTGGGGGAGAAAGGAGGGCTTGTGGGAGGCAAAAGAAGAGGGAGGGCTTGGGGGGGGGGGGGGATGAGGGAGAGAGAAGGGCTTAGTGGGGTGGGGGAAAAGGGAGGGTATAGGGGGTGGGGGTTGAAGGCAGGGCTTGGTGGAGTAGGGAGGGTTGGGGGGGTTGGAAAGGGGAGGCCTTGAGGAGAGAGGGGTGTGGGGGGGTCCAGGTGGCCAATTAGTGGGGGGCTGGTAGGGGTTGTACTCACCTAGTTGTGCTTGCGGGGGTTGTGCTCTGGCTCTTTGGCCCCGCCCCTCAACCGTCAATCAACAAGTGTACAGGTTCCTGAGCCTACTGGGCTCTATCATATCTACACTTGAAACTGTGTATGGAGTCAGCCTCCACCACATCACTGCCTAATGCATTCCATTTGTTAATTACTGACACTGACAAAATTCTTTCTAATGTCTCTGTGGCTCATTTGGTTACTATATTTCCACCTGTGTGTGTTGACCAACACAGTAGGGCCCTCCACTGTGAATGGGTCAATACAATATGACTCTCCGGTGTGTGGGATACATGAGAGGAGAGTCCACATACAACCGCTGGAGAGTCCTACCTCCTGGACACTGTGGCTGCTGCTCCTGGTCACCTCGGGTGCTCTAGGGCACAGTCCTCAACAGCTGGGAAGTGCCAGCAGACCAACTGGAGATATTATCGCCCCGAGCATCGTGACAACAGATTTCAATGGAGATTATAAGAGGAGCTCGGAAAACAATCTTAATGGAATATTTTAGTTACATTAATGGAAGTATTAAGTGTATAGAAATATGGAAAGAATCTCTAATAAGAATCGAGGCTGTAGATTGAGCTCGAACCCTCGTATACACGTTATTTAATCTTAGATTCATAACATTCTTGTGATTAATTGTACACTGTATGATACTCGCACTACACTAGAGAGTGAAAGACGGTGTTGTTGACACAAGAGAAAGACTTAAGACGGTGTTGTTGACACAAGAGAAAGACTTAAGACGGTGTTGTTGACACAAGAGAAAGACTTAAGACGGTGTTGTTGACACAAGAGAAAGACTTAAGACGGTGTTGTTGACACAAGAGAAAGACTTAAGACGGTGTTGTTGACACAAGAGAAAGACTTAAGACGGTGTTGTTGACACAAGAGAAAGACTTAAGACGGTGTTGTTGACACAAGAGAAAGACTTAAGACGGTGTTGTTGACAAGAGAAAGACTTAAGACGGTGTTGTTGACACAAGAGAAAGACTTAAGACGGTGTTGTTGACACAAGAGAAAGACTTAAGACGGTGTTGTTGACACAAGAGAAAGACTTGCATGCAGGAGACTGACCTGGTAGAGGGTGAACCACCTCAGCTGCCACTTGTTAGAGTCTGAGGAGCGCTTGTACAGGTAGCCGGAGTAGTTGTGGTCATGGCGCGCCTTCTCCGCCAGCATCAACACCTGGTTCTCGTTTATTCTTATTGTGCGCTGCATCTTGGGGCTTAGCATCTTCACCGTGTAGGTGATGGTGGTGGTGGGGCTGGTGCTGGAGGTCCCGCTGGTGCTGGAGGCGCTGCTGGCGGTGGCGGGAGTCTTGCTAGCCCGTCGGCTTAAGGCGGAGGCGGAGGAGGTTGTGGTAGTGGTGATTGTGCAGTTGGAGGTGGAGGAGGCCTGCGCGCGCCTCGACGCCCAGAACACCTGGTAGGCCTTATGTCACATGGTCGTGGGTGGCGGGATATACCGGGCTAAACTGACTATAAGATGACAGGCAGGACGCGAGCCTCCTGTCCGCACCTCAACCTCACGCTAACTGTCAGTAAGCTGTTCAAGCTTCACAACGGAGATATAGCTTGAATAGTATTACACAACCTCTATGTCTCTCTTGTGTGTAAAAGTTAGCTCACGAGAGTTGAGAATCACAAATGGATAAGAGAGGTGTAGGATGTTCATCACTACTGACCAAGGACGACCTTACGAGGACGAGCCCT